GCACATAGATCTATTTCCCCAACCTCATATATATTTACATATGTACATGCCTACATTTAGACTTCTATAAATGCTCTTTGCCTCCTAGCTCTTTCCTATATTTCCTTATACTTTCCTTTTGTCCCACTATCATGCTCAGCCTTCAATGGGTTTCAGTAATTCCTTTCAGTTACATTGCCCTTGATCAATCCCTACCAGGCCTCTTACACCCTCCTCGCCACTGATTTTGGATCAAAAGCAAATTATTTTTACAGCTGAGTAAATGTGTGTGGGGGCAGAGGTGGAGGGGGGTGAGAGACAGGGGTGAGTTTTTTACTCTTACCAAATAATGTCAATTGATCTTTGATACAAAAGCAATTCTGAAATGTAGTGCTATGCCCCACCATGGATGAAACTTTTCAAGAGAAAGTATCTCCATGTGGTGAAGTGAAATTTCTTTCTTTCTTTTTTTTTCTTCTCCTGCTTCACTTCTCTTTATTCCAAAACAGCTTAGTTACAGATTTCAACACTCCAGATGCAACATCTGGGCAAGTTAAGAAGATTCACAGCCAACTTGTCAGGGCACCTTGGCAAAGACACAGGGAATAATCTGGGCTCACGGGACTCTGCTCTCTCTTGGGGGAAATCCAAGAATAAGTACAACCACAATTGCAACCTCCCTGCCTCCCCCTTCAATAAAGTTTTGGGTTTTTCTGTTCCTTTTATTTAGCTTTTTCCTTTTAAACTGGGACTCGTTCTTGACGCCTTTTCTCAACATTTATGTTCGCTGTCAGAATGTCTTCCCTTCTTCCCGGCACTAGTGCACTGTTATCTTGATGGCCTGCTGGGCCAGCAGCCGACGGCCAGCCAGAAAGGTCACACTGCCCAAGATGGCCAGGTACTTCAGCATCTGGAACATGCCGAGCTGACTCCAGTAGATATACATGAGCCCCAGCATGGCAGCACGTCCCAGGTGAAAGAAAATTGTGCTCAGAGCAAAAGAGAAGTTGCAGACGTTGGCACCAATCCGGATCCACAGAGCAAGGAGCGGGAGCAAGGGCGAGAGGATCAGGATGGGGAATGTATTGGACACCGCTGTGGGGGGCCTCTTCTCAGGCTCTCGGAACAGGTGCTGGATTCCCTGTTTGGAAGTGAAAAGGTTCTTGGATAGGACAGTTGATGGCGCATCTTCTTCAGGGAACCTGATGACCACATCAGCCATATTCCAAAGGATCAGATGCTTCAAAGTGGCATCTCCAATGATCAAGTAGAGGGTGTAAGTGCTGGAGGCAGAGTCAAATTCAAGCTTCCTTTCAGAGGTAGCTAGTTAAAAGTTGTACACGTTCTTACTGTCAGGCTCAGCGACAAACACCACTTCCTTCTGGCTATGAAGTCGGACGAACATCTGGTGAGGAGTGAGTTCAGCGCCAGTGTTCACGTCGACCAGCTGGAAGAACAAGGCGAAGTTCTGGTGGCTACCTGCAATGAACATGCCCTTGGCTTTTGCAGGGTGGGTCACCCGGGTGGTTTTAAAAGCGATGCTCTGGTCCTTATCCACAGTGGAGAGATCAACATTTGTGATGCCAACTTCGGTGGAGATCTTGACTCTGAATGCTACCGAGTTCGCAGTGTAACGGGCGTCAACTTCAACTTTGACAGAGAAGTCATAGTGACCACTGGGCAACTCGACATTCACCAAGTTTAGTTCAAACCCATCCCCCGCAGGGGTGAAAGCACAGTGACCCTGGAAGCCACAGACTTTGCATGCTCCAATTTGACAGTGGCCTGAGTCAGAGGTGACTTGCAGCCGGAGGATGGCCTGTTCTGAGTGTTGGGAGGAGAGCCCTCGGGCACTACCAGCCCCGCACGTGGTAGCGATTCTTGGAGAGCGTGGCAGAGGCCACGCTGAAGGCTTCCGAGAGTGATTCAAAGTTCTCACTGAAGATGGCATTCATCAGCTGGATGACCTGATCCTCCTTCGTGGATGGCTCGGTCCCCACATGGTCCATGAGCTCATAAGTGGCAGCCACGAATCACGCCGTGGTTTCCAGGCTTTCTTCAAATTGGAGGTACACGCCCCCCAGTTCATCCAAGTGAGCAACAAGGTCCTCCATCTCCTCCATGATGCTCCTCAGGTCAGCCTGCGGGGACAGGTGGAAACCAGTCTGCAGAGCCTGGACAGTTGCCAGCAGTCTCTTCCTTGCTGAGACGAGCTGTCAGGGTGCTGAGTGCTTCCTGGGATGCCAGGGGGAGGCCAAAGCCAATCAGGGCTGCAACAGCGTGGTAGATCTGGGTAAGCGACGAGTTTGCATTGACAGCTGCCAGGAGGAGGTCTTTGGTTTCATTTGAAATAGAGATCTCACAGCCCAAGAGGGCCTGGCTAGACTGGGCAGCGTAGAAGAGGGAACCCACATGCCTGGGATCCAGGTTGGACTGAATAAAAGTGCATGCTTTCTTGACATCTGGCAAGTGGGCACCAACGCTGCTGAATCCCAAGATGGAATAGAAAGCAGATTCCAAATTTGTGAATGGGGGTCCAACGAGGCCTTCAGTCTCTCCACGTCATGCTTGGTGAGGTAGTGAGTAGGCGTCAAGGCCTGGCTGCTGGCTATGATTGTCAGGGCCAACAGGAAGACAGTGCTTGAACCCGGTGGTGCCATTCCGCCGAGCTGTTCCTGCCAGGGCCTGAGCAGCAGATTGCCTAAGTGAAATTTCTTAACACAGCTCTTCTACTCATGTCCCTACAAGTTGGAACTGACTCAATGGCAACAGGCTCTGGCTTCTCCCACCAAAATGACTGCGTGGGCCTGGCGAATACAATGCATGAAACACTCAATAGAGGGGACCAGTTAGTTTTAGTTGCCATTCTCTGTGTGTAAGAGAGCCATCTGAGAAGTAGCAATAAAGAGAATTCCTGGGGCTATCCAGGAAGAGTAGCCATCAGCAAAGCACATTCTTCTGAGATCCTTGTCTGAAGTGGCAGAGACCAGAGGCATCAGAGCAGAGGAACGGCAGCAGGACTGAAACCAGAGAATGTGACACTGGGAGGCGGAGTAGCAGGTGAGCTTTCCAGCCCATAGAAGAAGCGCAACTCTATGTACCACAGAAGGAAGGGCCTCCTGGTGCGGTGTCATCCTCACAATGGTTCTATGTTTGATTGAGCCCATTGTTGTAGCCACTGTGTCCATCGATCGACTCCAGAGCCTTCCTCCTTTTAGTGATCCCTCTACTTTCCTAATCACAATGTCCTTTTCCAGAGATGCATCTCCCATGATAACATGTCTAAAGTATGTGACACAAAGTCTCACAGTGCTGCCAGTCTTCTGGTTGTACTTCTCTCAAGACAGACGTTTGTTCTTTGGCAGCCCATGGTACTTTCAATACTCTTCACCAACACCACAGTTCATTTGCATCAGTTGTTTGTTTTTTTTTTGGGGGGGGGTCTTCCTTATTCAATTTCCAACTTCCACATGAATATGAGGCAAATGAAAATACCATGTCTTGGGTCAGGTGTACCTTAGTCCTAAAAATATCATCTTTAGGAGGGGAAAAGTGAGGAGCAGATACCAAGGACTCAAATAGAAAGCAAATGTTTTGAGAATGATGATGACTACACAGGTACAAATGTGCTTGACACAATGAGTGGATGTATGGATTGTGATAAGAGTTGTATGAGCCCCCAATAAAGTGATTAAAAAAAAAATAACATCTTTGCTTTTGAACACTTTGAAGAGGTTTTGTTCAACAGATTTACCTAACACAATGTGTTGTTTGAATCTCTTGACTGCTGCTTCCAAGAGCATTGATTGTGGATCCAAACAAGATGAAATCCTTGACAACTTCCATCTTTTCTCCATTTATCAGGATGAACAAACATCTATCTTTGAAGAAGTACATCCAAAACGCTCCTCAGAGATGAGGATGGTGAGACTTCATCTCACAAACTTTGGGCATGTTGTCAGGAGAGACTAGACCCTGGAGAAGGACGTCATACTTGGTAAAGTGTAGGGGCAGCAAAACAAGAGGCAGGCCCTTAATGAGATGGATTGACACAGAGGCTGCAACAATGGGCTCAAAGATAAAAACCATTGTGAGGATGGCGCAGGACCAAGCGGTGTTTCGCTCTGTCTACGTACAGTTGCTATGAGCCAGAACCAACTTGACCACACCTCACAACAGCAATACCTCCTGGTCCAGTTGTAAGGATTTTTGTTTTCTTTTTATTGCCTTTTAATCCATACTGAAGGCTGTAATCCTTGATCTTCATAAAAGATTACACTTTTCTTTATTTTCCACGTTAATGGGCATTTTTTTTTAAGAAGCAAGGAATATGTGATTAGGTAACAAAGATGCACACTGTAAAATTTGTGGAATAATTCCTATCCATCAATTTTTTGAGCAAGCATTTGTGTATAGAGTGTGTTAATCTGGGTACATTAGAGAAACAAATCCACAGAAACTCATGTATAAGAGAGAGTTTTATATAAAGGCTAAGTGCACAGCAAGAAAACATCCCAACCCAATGCTGCCCAAGACCACAAGTCCAACATTAACCCATATGTCCGACACCAATCCACAAAGTCCTCCTCCATCTCACACAGAGGCAATGATGCCGACTGCAGGAGGAAAGCCGAATCAGTGAGCGTGTAAGCATCTCAGCGTTGGCAGGGGTCTCCACACGGCTGCTCCAGCAGCCAGGGCTGCATCGGGGTAGGCCCATGTGGTTTCTCCTGAGGGATGTCTTGCAGGAAATGAGCCTTGCCAGTGAGGCAGGAAACTGGCTAAGGCAGCTGCACCCTGGTGCGACCATCAGAAAGCAAGAGACCCGAGAACTAGAGAGGCGAAGCTCACCGAGCCATTTATCCCTCTGCCCTTCAATTCACTCTACCTGTGTTGCTCGGCCAGGTTGGCACGATGAACTAACCACCTCAGTAGTGTGTTAGGCGAGTGTGTACTAAGCAGAACCCATGTGAGTCTCAGTGACTCACCCTGCAGACAGGGATACATTCCAACCTAAAAGACTCTCTCCTTCAACCGAGAAATGTAAAAGTTCTACCCCAAAGTATTAAAAGAATGGAGAAAAACATGCAGATTTTTGCTTACCTGCCTGTCAGATATCCAACTGCAGAAGCAGCGTAACAAGCCTACAAAGCAAGAATACCAAGATTTACACATACTGGTACCGGCTTAGTCTGTATGAGAATAATTTTCTACTAAACAAGAAACAGAATCTAATAAACAGCTAGACATTGAAATGCTTTCCATTTTATCAAGGAATCATCCAACCCTAAGCTTCATGTAATGGTTAGGTACCTAACTTTGTTATTAGTTTTTCAAGAAATGTTTCCATTTCATCTGTTGTCCACCATCGCCTCTCATAATTTTTAAGTACTTGCAGGATCAGTAGCGTGTCTTCTGTTGTATTCCTGGTATTGATGACATGTGCCTTCTTTCTTTCATGTCTTTCTGTTATCACGTTTACGAGGGATTTAGCCATTTTACTAACTTTTTCAAAGAATTCATTTTCGGCTTTGATGATATTTGCTGTTATTCATGTTTTCTCCTTCATTAATTTCTGTTCTTTATACACTCACTCCTCACAGTTCCAAACACCAGGTCATTAAGCAAAAATCATGTTCTGTGACAATGGAGGGTCGCCACATTAGATCCCCACATGGAGGAATATAACATAACTGCCAAACCACTAGGAACAGCGGCCCAGGCAAAGTGCCAATACCCTTAACCATCACAGCTCGCGTTACTCTCACCTTCACACCTCAGCACTTGTTACTGCCAGACATGTGCTGCTACACCATGCAGAATATATAACAGCTTCCAACCAAAAGTATCACTAGATGTCAAAGTTTTTTTTTAAGGAATACGTTTTATGACCATTAAAAAAAAAATCCGTTGGGGGGGGGTCGATGGCAGCAAGAAACGGTTCAGAGACCTCTTGCCCTGGAGCCCAATGCTAACCAAGAGGTCAGCAGTTCGAGCCCACCAAAAGCTCCATGGGCAGGGTGGGAGGGCACGCTCTGGTCCTCTACCTCCATTCAAGGGCAGAATAGTACAAGCCAGCTCAAAAAGTTCCTGGAAATTTTGACGTGACCTTTTTGAAGCCTTCTCATACAGATAGCATTGAAGACAGCAGAATCTAGAACCAATTCGTTGTTTTTTTTTTTCAAATAAATCCTTTTATTGGGGGCTTGTACAACTCTTATCACAATCCATCCATCCATCCATTGTGTCAAGCACTTGGTACAATTGTTGCCATCGTCATTTTCAAAACATTAGCTTTCTACTTGAGCCCTTGAGTTCCTACTCGCTAGCCAACTGTCAACACACCTTGACCCCTCTAAGTTACCTGACGAAAGACAGTCTAGTAATGACTAGCTGTCTTTCACTTCAGCACAAACAGGCCACCACTCCACAGGCCCTCGTTTGTCTCTGGAACGTCTTCTGGATCTCTTCTCATTTTTCCTCTGAATAGTCCCTGTCACTGGCGAGCTAGTTCAGACAGGGCTGAAGTTTTCCTTTGAGTACTGAAAAGAGTCAGGTCGCACCCTAGGATGCCCCATTCACACCTCAAACTCACTGTACTCAAAACTGAGCTCCCTACCCTTTCCCTCCAGAGTCAGCTCTGCCCTCCATATGTCCAGTCTCAATCAGTGGCACTATCATCCACCAGGTCCATCACATACTTCCCAGATCTAGAGATCATCCCCAGAAGAGCCTGGTTCATGCCTCCCAACCCTTCAAGATAGCTCAGGATATTCTCCTCTGGGAAGCTTTCCCTGAGATCTTAGACGGAGCTGTGTGCCCCTCCTCTGAGTTCTCACAGTACCCTGGGAACACCTCTTTCAAAGAACTTTACATATTAGAGTGAAACTATCTATTTGTGTCTGTCTCTGTTGGAAGAGACAAGGACAAGAACGACCTCTCATTCACTTTACTTCCAGTGTCCAACATGAGACATGGCGCCTAAGGAACCTTCAGCTAAGCTTGCTGTTATTGTCAGTCGCCGTTTAGTTGAGTTCAACTCACTGTGAGCCCATGCATGCACAGTGGAACCAGCAGCTCCGTGGGGTTTTGAAGGCTGTGCACGTTTGGACGCACATGAGCAGGCCTCTGGGTGGATGTTAAATCACCAAACTTTCAGGAAGCAGCTAAGTATTTAACCATTTGAGCCACCCAAGGATCCTCCAACTACGTTTGTCAAGACAGAAATACAACTTCAAGACTCTGTCCTGTGGTTCCTCTCCACGAATCCATAATGTGTACACACATAAGGAAAACCAAACACATTGTCTTTGATCCTTACTTGTGGCCACCTCATAGATAATAAAGTAGAATTGTTCTATAGGATTTTCTTGGCTATGATCTTTCTGGAAGCAGATCACCAGGCCTCTCTTCCGTGGCACTGGTGGGAATTTTTCCATGAACTTTTTGAAGCCCCCTCATGTGTATAGCACTTAAAAGAGCAGACTCTGGAATCAATCCGAGCTGGGCTTCAAGCTCCTCAACTTCTACTACATAACTTTGGCATGCTACTTTCTGTTATCTTGATTTCCCCACAGAGAGGATGAGCATAATTTATAGCATTACCCTGGGGGCGAAATGTATTAAGACCAGAAACTTGTAGGTTGTTATTGTTGTTATGTACTATGGAGTTCGTTCCAACACAGAGCAACCCTAAGTACAATAAAGTACAACACTGCTGGGCCTGCAGCACCCTCATAATAGTTATGTTTGAGCCCACCGTAGGTCAGTAGACACGTGCAACCTGTGCCACCCAGGGATCCCCATCTTTGTACCTATCCTGTTGTCACAAGCTGACTGCAACTCATAACAACCTTAGAGGACAGAGCAGAACTGCGCCCCTAGGGTCCCCAGAGCTGTAAATCTTTCTGGAAGCAGGCTCCCGCATCTTTCTTCTATGGGGTGGCCGATGGGTTCAAGCTGCCAACTTTTCCGTTCACTGACGAGTGCTTTAACCACTGCACCACCAGGCCTCCTTTCCAGACTCTGTACTACCTTCAAAACCATCTTCAAACTCAACCCACTGCCACTGGGTCCATTCAGACTCGCAGCAACTTTATGGGACAAGGTAGAACTGCCCTGGTGGGTTTCCAAGACTCTAACTCTACAGGACAGAAGGCCTCATCTTTCTCCCACAGAGTAGCCTAGAGTTTTGAACTGCTGACCTTGCAATTAGCACCCCAAAGAGTAACCACTATGCTTCCAGGGCTCCTCAACACCACCTTATTCATATACAAACCTCCCACCTATTTAGGAAAACCTTTAAAGTCTCTCTCTTCCCGACTGAATAAAGTCCAAAATCCTAGAGAAGACCCTCCATAGTCTCCCCTCAACCTAGCCACCCATCGGGTCTCACAGCCCATCACTCTTTTGAGATACAAGCATTACCTCTGCAGGTCATCTCCTTTGAGAGCAGAATTGACTGCTTCCTCTGAGCTAACTGGAGCCCTGGTGGCATAGTGGTTACACACTGGGCTGCTAACTACAAGGTCAGCAGCTTGAAACGACCTGCTGCTCAAGAGAAAGATGGGGCTTTCTACTCCTGTAAGCAGTTACAGTCTCGGGAACCCATAGAATCCACCCTGTCCTAGAGGGTCACTATAAGTCAGCATCAATTTGATGGCAGTGAAGGCTTTTCTGAGCTACATACTGCCCCTTGTTTGTACATCCACCGAGAGGTGTTAAACTCGAGAGGCCTGTTCTACTCCGTCCTCTATCCCACAGTTAAGCTGCACAGTACTTGGAACATCGTACACACCTGTTACATGTTTGCTGTGTAAAGAATTAATCAGTGGCATATCTCCCACCTCCTGAAAAACAGTACAATATAGGCCCCATTAAGAGGTCATTAACTTTAAAATTAAATTAAATTTTTAAAAAAGAGGCCAATAACTTCATCTTCCCATACAGAGGGAAGAATGAATGTTGCCCCAACTAATGGAAGGAAAAAGGAAAAGGGACAGAAACTCAAGACTGTTAGCTTTAAGGTTAAAACAATGGTTTTTCCCTCTCCCCAGGGAGATAAGGAATGCCATTCGACAGCAATTTTAAAAACTGTACTTAGTAGCCACACCATCAAAGCCACAACTGAGGTAGACACTTTGAGGGATAGAATAACACGTGAACCACAGTGACACCAACCCTCCTGGGCTGCCATCCTATGGTGGAAGGAAGGCCAAGAGCCGGCAAGAGCCTGAATCTAAGTGCAACACTGAGTGGAACGCAGGAAATAACCGGAGAGACTGAATAAACCTGACAATGCAGAAGCAGACCTTTGATAGTTTCAGTCACCATTGCATAAGGAAGGTGGGAGGCTGGGTTGGCAGAGGAAACACTGCTATTGGGCCAACTGACCAAAGGTCCTACTTTCCCACACTTCCAAATATGCCTTTGCGAAAGAGGGCAGTGACGTGGTGAACAGAGCACTGGACACTTGGATTTGGGACACCTACTTCCCAACTGTCCCTAAAACATCTGGGACCTCCTCCAACTAGTCAAGGCCCCTGCCATATAAGGAGAAATGTGACACTGCATTCATTCATTCCCCAGATGTTCCTCTAAGTCCTAGACATAGAATAGCAAGTGGTTACAGAGCGTGCTAGTAAACTATAGGACGCTCTGACACAGACTGGGGCACGGTCTCTTCCCATTAAAACGCTCCACGCTTTGCAGGACACACGGCAGCACAGTGGCCAAGCATAGACCTTGGGCCTGCAATGCCTGGGTTTTAAATGCTGGCTCGGTCACTACCAGTGGGGTCACCTTGAGCAAGTTACTTAATGTCTCGTTACTCATCTGTCAACTCCGATTAAAAATCGGCCTAGCTTTACAGAACTGTTTTGTTTCACGTGGGTAGCGCACAAGAACAGTGGTAAGTACTGGGAACGGACATCTGCCGTTACTATGGATTATTCCCAAGAACGCATTGGACTCACCGCTTGCTCATTCCTCATCCCGATGTACTTGATGCCCAGTGCCTGCGCGGCGACGGCGATTTCGGTCACTGGGATGCCAACGATGCCAAACATGTACTCCACACCCTGTGGGCAGAGGACAGAAAACTGAACGCCCGAGGCCCGCCGCATCCCACGCCCCCTCCGAGGTAGTCAAGGAAACATCCCGCTGCGGACGCGGCTCTCGTTGCCAAGACAACCGCCGGCCCTCGCCGGCTTCCGTAAGACCCCGGTGGGTCCGTCGTACTTGCGTTTTCAGGGCTCGGGCCACGACTTCGGCGCCAGACACCTGCTCCTCGCTCCTGTCGCCACGCTCGGCGCGGTCTCCTGTTCGCGGCATCGTCTACCTGCGAGTTCACAGCACTCCCGCGGCCGAAGGCCAAGGGGACCCAGAGTCTCCCAGCAAAAGCGATCTCCAGAATACCCGCGAACCGATTGTCAGACCGCCGCTCTGACAGGAGGACAAACAACCACTCTCAGCGGAAAAAGCGGGGCTGCAGTCCGTCCGCGGGCAAGGTGAGGCGGTCCTTCCTCCAATCAGAAGCCGAGCTCTGTCCTCGGCTCCTCCATTCGTAGAGGCAGAGAAGGCGGGACTAGGAGGGGGCGGTGGCCTATGCCGAGCAGGTAAGAAGTCGAACAACTGGCGCTTCCCAGTGTGTTTCTCGCCTGGTACCGCTTTACCAGGCCCAAGTTTTACGGGATGGAAATGAGAGGGGCGCGTGCGCGGCGCGGGGCGGCCTGAAGGCTCCGCCCATTCCAGCAGGGGGCGTGGCGACACCCGTCCCTCGACCGCTCTGCGGCCTGCAGCGAGGCTCCGCAAAGCCTGCTGGGACTGGAGGTCGGCCGCCGGGGGTCACGGCCGGGGCGGAAGTGATTGCTCGTGGGGCGTATGGTTATCCTGCCGGACCACTGCACGCGCCGCATTGCGCTTGGTTTTGTTACAAGTTTCTGGCTGTGCAACCTGTAAACAAAGGAAAATACGTTACTGATATCTGTATAAGGCCGCGATCTCTATGACCAGCTTGCTAGACGAATAAGTCAAGCTTCGAAGCAATCGATGGGATGACCCCTCCAGACCATTTGGACTTTACGCTCCCATCTATCCGTTGTTTACTCCTTACGTCACAAAAGCTTGGATAGATCCATCGAGCCTCGTTAGTTTTGAGACGTCTTCTCTGACCTTTGCTACTAACCCACAATATCCTCTTTGGCTTTCCTAAATCAGGAAATTTGGATTTTCATAATTCTTCGATTCGGTCCTTACCTGCAACTAGATCCTGCACGCACTTTCAGATTGCGTTCAGCGTCTTTCTCTTTGACTCTGATTTTCTGCAATTTGAATGTGAGATTTTTTGTTGTTGTTATATATTCTGCCTGATATTGGTTATGTATTATGTGGGATTTTTGTTCTATAATCATGCTTGATGTTCTCTGGGATACTGGCATCTGTGCTTTAGTGTCAATAATTTTGGAAAATACTCAGCCATTATTATTGTCTTGTTTCTCATTGTGTTTTCTTCTAGAGCAGTGGTTCTCAACCTTCCTAATGCCGCGGCCCTTTAATACAATTCCTCGTGTTGTGGTGACCCCCAACCTTAAAATTATTTTTGTTGCTACTGCGTAACTGTAATTTGCTACTGTTATCAATTGGGCGACCCTTTTGAAAGGGTCGTTTGACCCCCGAAAGGGGTCGCGTGCAACCCACAGGTTGAAAACCACTGTTCTAGAGCATTCCCCTTACATTTATATTGTAATTTTTTATAGTTGATCCAATTCTTGCATGTTCTCTTCCTTTGTTCACTCCCGTGTCTTATTGTCTTGGCTTTTCAGTTTGGAAGGGTTCTACTGGCAGATGAAGCTCACTGCACCTCAGCCTGCTTATGAGCTCTTCACTTCTATTATTCTTCATTTCTGTTACAGTGTTTTTGGTGTCTCGCATTCTCCTTTGAGTACTTTATAGGATTGCCTTCTCTGCATTTAAATCCATCTACCATTTTTCTTAGAGCCTTTAGCAAATGAATGAGTTATACTACATATCTGATCTGTGTGTTTGCCATATCCGAGTCTGGTTCCTAGTGTCCTAACACTTCAAGACTTAATTTCTTACCTTTAGCATGCCTTATAATTTGTTGTTGAAAACTGAGCTGACGTACAGGGTAAGAGGAACTGGGGTGTTTTCAGTTGTAAAGCTCTATTGCTGTTTATGGTGATGTGACCATCAATTCAGGACTAAGGGAAGTGTTTTGCCCTACTACTGTTATAATTCAGTCTTTTAATAAGCCTGTGCCCCTGAATTGTGACCTTCAGAGGCGCTTCCAAATTTTTGCTCCCTCATCTTTTAGGTCAGTGTTTCTTTTCCCAAGGTGGACAGTACCATGCCCTGGAGTGGAAGGGGCACACTGGAACTATCCAGAGGGGCTGCAAAAGCAGATCAAACAAGCAAAGAGCCCTGGGGGCATAGTGGTTATGCATTAGGCTGCTAATTGGAAGGTTAGTAGTTCGAAACCACCATTGATCTTAGTGTTTACATTAGTACCTGTGTACATCTCTACCTTGTTGCATTAGAATCAGTTGGAAAAACTTAAGAAATTTATCTTAGGAGAAATTAGGCACCTGTATGTTTTTCTTTCAAAGCTGCCTAGCTAATTTTGTTTTATAACCTGAATTGAGAACCACCAGCTCTAGCTCTGTACTGAAAAAGCTCTGATATCAGCACATGATCAAATGCAGGGCTGCTAACCAAAGAGCTGGAGGTTCAAACCCACCCTGTGCTTCTGCAGGACGAAGACCTGGCAATCTGTTTCCACACAGATTACAGCTGGGAACACTCCCCTCCCCGGAAAGTTTTCTCTTCCCCAATGGGTCCCTAAGAGTTAGAATCAACTCAGTAATGGCTAATGGCAACACCTCTGTACTCTTGCTGGAGTTTAGGTAACAAGTCTGTAATTGCCTAAGTATTTCTAATATAGTGCGTTTGATTAATATAGTGCGTTTGAACACACATATGGTTCAGGGTTGGCGTGATGTGGCCAGCACATATCTATTCAGCAGGCAGGCAGTTCAGGGGTCCTGTGTCTATTTTGGGGCTTCTAGAATCACTAACAGAACCACTCAGTTCAAAGAACACTGAAAATTCAGAACTCGGAAAAATCCCCTGAATCCACATTAGCCTGTTATTCAGGAAAGATAAATTCTCGTCACTAAACAAACAAGAAATGTCCTTGAGCTTATCTAAACTCACTTTCACCTGTCAGTGCAGTGTTCCACTGTTCGCTAGAAATGATTAATCAAGTCCTCACCTCCACGATTAGCAGAGAAAAGAGTGAGCCTTTTCCAATCAGATTCTAAACAAAGGACTTCAAAGATTCTTTCGTAACTTGCTTAAGGCCCTTGGCACAGACTGTGTAAG